ACAAAGAACACCCAGACTCAGAACAACAATTTGTGGATCACACAAAGTGTCGTCCCTGGTGGGGATCGGATCCACAACACTCAGCGTAGTAGTGAGCGGAGTTATAATTATTTTAGATTTAACTTACTATGAATACCAGTCAAAGATCTCAAGATTAGGATCCCAAACTAAGCAGAACCTGTGCTATGGTAACCAACACAAGATATTATATTATTATTATTATACCAGTCATAGTAAGTTAAATCTAAAATAATTGTTTTTCTTATTATGAATCTCTCAATAAACTAAATAGTTATATTGTTGCTACAATGCACTAAAGTAAAGATAATTAAAAATAAAAATAATTAACTTAAAAAGAGAAAAAAAACACATTTTATTTAACACAGTACAAAGACGTTGTTTACATAATAGGTATTACATATAATATATAATTAACACAATATTTCATGTAATACTGATATAAGTTCATAAATAAACAGCTCACGAAGAGACTCCTTCAAGCGAAAAATTTGGCTTATTTCGTAATTTATATCTGTATAAGGTCTCACGCTAGGGAATTACTGTTTTTGTGAAGGCAACTTTATTGATGAATAAATATGGCAATTATACAAATAGATAGCAAGTCCCTCACATATCACTAGACGCAATAGTAGGTAACGAAGAGACCAGTAAACGTACAAAAATCATCCATTTGAAGCACCAATTTCTGGAAATACGATCAAAATGGTTTTTGAACTGTTGATACTGTGGTTATAACTGTGATGTTAATTAGTGTTTTTTACAAGGTGATCGTTTGGTATATGGACACAAGCTCAGTGTAACAGTGCCATGTTTTTTTTCGAGTTAAATAACAATAATTGCATAGGAACAACAACCTTCACCATTGTAAACTTAACAATACAAAACCGGTTTTCTTTGAACAGGATACGGAGCACCCACGAAAATATAAGGTTTTACCAACAATAGTTAATAGACAGAAACAAAAACCGGTATCAATTGCCTTTACCTAACTCCATATATAAAATTATTTTTGTTACATAAACTACATAATATATTTTAGTAAACATATTTCATTCACATTTGTATAAGTCTATCATTGTTTAATTACTAAAATATTTTTTAAGATGGTCTTATTGTGATTCTCGGATGTGCTAACAAACAAGGATTGTGAAGTACTGCAAAAGGTTAACTTAACTAAATCAAGTTTGACTTATGGAAGGCCTTGTTTCCTATTCATTGCTGGCAGGGCTTACTTAGGGATTGGACTGAAAATCATTTTATGATATCGACCATTGACGACCGGATGGCATAGTGGTTTGTGTAACGGACTGCTATTCCAAAGGTCGCGGGTTCGATTCCCGCTCAAGTCAAACATTTGTATGCATGAACATTTGATGTTTGATTTGGTCTGGGTGTTTCTATGTATAATATGTATGTATTTACAAAAAAAAAAGTATATATGTATTTATATTAGTTGCTAGTACCCATAGTACAAGCTCTGCTTAGTTTGGGACTAGATGGCGTTGTGTGTATGTGGTAGAATATTATTATTATATTATTATATCCGCTTAAACTAGATAGCAAATCTGTTCGACTAGGTAGTCACATTTAGCTAACCGGAACACAGAAACGTGGAATAAAACACTAACATTCTACACATTCCAGGTACAGTATATCAATTTCATAAAAATGTCATCGATGCCGTGCAGATGTAGTTGTCTAAACTAGTTCCTCGGTGTAAATGAAACTCTAGAGCCCTATGTTATTTATAATATGGTAAAGTGTAAAATATAACGCTGTGAAATTAACAGGTGGGGATTATTCTAACCTCATATTTACATTCTGAACTTCATCATGCATAGCAGCCAAACAGATCCCACAAACTTGTACGTTACATTGTAAATAACACTGACACACACTAGAGGAACACTGTCGGGAGTAATTAACTGGGGTCGCTGCTGCCCTTAAACTATGATTGCACAGAGACGACTATACGATGGACTTTGCTTCTTTATTTATTTTTAAATTCTGATATTACATCGTTCTAAGGGACAAACTATCGTTTACCACATTAAAAAAGGAAACTTACTCAACTGATAATTGAAAACAAACCTTTATTATAATATGACTTTCTTTTGCCGTAGGTTAACGCGGTATAAAGTAACTTATGCTCTTCCTCATGAATTTGATTATCTGATGAATTTGATTGATGAATTATCTGTATACAAATTTCAGCCAAATGGAATGAGCGGTTATTGATTCCTCAGACAAACTTCCACCCCCCCCCCCCCCCCTTTTCACCACTTTAAAGGATGATTTCTGGGATAAAAATCGTATGTCTTTTCCTGGGACTCAAACTATCTCTATTCCAAATTTCATGCGTGTGAACAGGTAACAGACAGACAGACAGACACAGTTTCGCATTTGTAATATTAGTAGGTATGGATATATATTGTGTTATCATGGTAATAAGTGTAACTTTTTTTGGGCTTTTGTTCTATGAACACTTGGACCCGGAAAACGTAAGTATTACCGTAAAATATTAATTATGTAGTTATCTGTGTGACGATGAACACTGTTAAATTTTAATGACTATATTCTCATGGAAGTGATATAAATCTTATATAATGACTAGCTTTTGCCAGCGACTTCAGACATCGTAGAGGATACGCTGCTACCAAAAATAATAAAGTTTCATCATGTATCCATCCATCCACAGCCTTTACTAGACCACTGCTGGACATAGGCCTCTCCTTAGAAGGGGGGTTTTGGCCTATTATACCACGCTGGCCAGTCGGGTTGGTATAGGGTTTGTTTCAAATGTTTATTATCTTTTCAGTGTTGTTGTACTGAGTAGTTTGCTCCCTTAGTCGGCTCTTACGACACCACGGCAATAGGGGTGGTGACATTGTATTCTTAATCCGTCACCACACGGGAAGTTTCATATAAAGTTAAAACCCAATTTTTCAACCTTAGGGGTAGATTTTTTTTTTTAATGTTAGAGGGGGCAGACGAGCAGACGGGTCACCTGATGGAAAGTGACTATCGCCGCCCATGAACGTCTGCAACTCAGGAGTCAAAAACGCGTTGCCGGCCTTTTAGGAAGGAGTACGCTCTTTTCTTGAAGGTTTAAAGGTCAGGAAAAGTGTCTCGTGCACAGTTGTGGAGAGCAACTATCCAGGTAACGAGGATGAAAATTTTGCCGTGTGGAACGATGGCGGAAATTGGCGGCTGGTATTAGACCGAACAATTACTCGGAGCACTCTCCATGATATATGCGATAGAGAATGCAGAGTGAAGCCACATCTCTACGTAACGCCAAGGGATCGAGGTGATGCGGTCCAGAGGGAGAAGCTGGTACTGAGGTGCCCCTGCATAGAGATGAGAACAGTATTTCATATGCGGCCGGACTTGCGCCTTATAGCTGAAGGCGGTGGGCCGGAGTGAAATACTGCCTCGCTCTGTTCAGTATACCGAGCTTCTTCGAGGCCAATTTCACCTTACCCTCTAAGTGACCCCGAAACTGGACTTCGCACGATATGTCGATGCCTAGAATTCCGATGCTGGCTGAGGCAGTTAGGGAGGTGCTCTCAAACTGAGGTGATACGACAAATACCTGACAAACGCACATACCTGTGTCTTTTTGGGTTTCTAAGGGCTTTCTAAGAGCACACCTACGTCACCTAACGATTATTTGTGTAAAATTTCATGCTTCTAAACCCAGCGGTTGCAGTTGTGCGTTGATCCAGCAATCAATCAGTCAGTCCACTTATCAATTGAACGGTATATTCAGAAACGCATGCCTTTGAGTCCTATTTTGGATATTAGTGTTTATAAAGTTTATTTATAATATACAGCTATATAAGCTATTTTTTTCTTAGTATTATAAAGAGACAACTCCCGCACTAAGTATATAAACAAGTGTCGCGGGGGACTTTATAAGCAAACATGAAACGGACACAAAGACCACCCAGACTCAGGACAACATTTTTTTATCACACTTAGCGCAGCAGGAAGCGGCGAGGCTTAAACCACTACGCCATCCGTGGAGTCAATTAAAAAGTATGAGACAATAGATTTTTCTCCTTATTACAATTATACGCTTTAATTGTGTATGCTACTTTTCATGTTTCGTGACAAAGACTGACCGTAAGATGAATATTTAATTCAAGTCTATTACAGCTTTGCTTACTCAACAGACGTTCAATTATATTTTTTCCTGTTAAGTGGGGTATTTAAAAGTAATTAAAGGCCATATTTTTAAATATATACTTTAAATAACATATTTAACCATTATAACACTGTGTTTCACAACTGTTTGTTAGAAAGTTACCCTAATTGTTAGCTGAGAGAACACTCATTAACTAGTAGTTAAGTTAACTAGTGTTAATATATTGATAAGCTTAACTAGCTATACGGTAATAAAAAGGAAAACTAATAAAATAAATAACAAGAAGAAATTTATTTACTTTTTAACACTTAAAAAAGTTATATCAAAAATATTTGTAATAGTAAAAACTATACACATTATAAACACTATACATTTACTCGTTATTTAAATTTTCCATTTAAATTATTAATAAAAAATATTTATTTCGTAATTATGAAATTCCATCTAAATGCTCTCATTCAGGTATTCGCAAATATGTCTCATTCAGGTGATAATTCAATGTGTGTTTTTGTTTTGCGATTTTATACGGTAATAATATTATTATAATAATCAGAATTAAATATATAAACATTTGAAACTTTTTAAAAACAAATATAAACTACTTGTTTTAAATAAATGCATGTCATTGGCCAAATACTAGTTAAGTGCACTGGTTTATAACATAAACATAATGATTTGGATGTCAGTGCACTTTACTGATAAACTTATAAAATTTATCATAAATGTAAATTATCCCAAACTCTTAATCAAACACAGCCACATTACAGTTTAAATTTAGAATCACAGGTGGGATCGTTAGAAACGAAAATATTGCAAGCACAAAATTTCTTTATCTTGTGCCAATGAAAGAATTTGGTCTTTGTGGCCAGTTCTGGGGTTTACGTCTTAAGTCTTCATATTGTTTCCAGTTTAGATACCAAAAAGGTCTGTTGTCAACTGGCAGTTGGTTTAATCGATTAATAAAACCTCTATCACCTTTAGCTTCAATCGGTAAGTCTTCATCTTCACCGAATCTATTGGAAAGTAGATCTGTTTCTACGTCTGGATATCCAATTGGTCTCAGTCCGGCGAAGGAGGGCCTTTGAGCATTCACAACAACTAAGTAAAGGGTGAGCGCCAAAGTCAGCTTGCTGAAGGCCATTTTCTGTAAAACAATAGATAATAAAAATTTCCTGAATTAAGTAAAATATAATTTTCTAACTAAAAAAACATTGGGAAACCAATAACATCTAAAAACCATTATCGTCGTTTAGAGAAAAAGGCTTATTTTATACAGTGTTGAAAAACCAGACAATAATAGGTCCCCTTTTAAAATACAGACTTTTAAAATACAGACTTTTTAAATCAATAATATATCAAGTTTTGAATGATGCCTCAATAAAAAACTAATTACAAATTTAAAGCGATAAATATATTAGACATTATCTAAAAGTAGCGATACTTCGATTATTCAGAATTTAATTGATGCTTTTTTTATATGTTTGTTAATTAAAACGTTTTAACATTAAAGTTTCAACAATAATTTAACGTGATATTTACCATAATACACATTTACACGTGTCAACGCACAAAGTGAATTAATTATCAAAGTAAATAAACTTATTGTTTGTTTACGGCGTCTACCGGCTTGCTGTACGCGCACTGTATGACTGTGACTTGATACAACGGAGAAGAGTTTAAATATAGAAGCCACATTGCGCGAGTGCAGAGCTCAGAAGATTTAGATTAGAATCTTAAATAAGCATATTTTGGTTTGAAAATATTCGATTATTTTTTTTTGTTTATTATAAGAATTTATCTAAATGTTTTTAATATCTTATAAGTTTTAAGTATCAATTTAAGATGTGAAAGTGAGTTTGTTTGTTTGTTACGCTTTCACGCCTACACTATTAACCCGATTTAAAAAAATATTTCACCAATGGATAGCTACTTTTTCAGCGAGTAAAATAGGCCTATACTTTTTACCACTATAACCAACAAAAGCTTATATAATTATATTATAATATTACATAATTATTTCAGTGTCTGTTGCCTGTTATACTGTAAAGTTCAAAATGTATTATATTTACTGATTTAGCAGTGAGGCACTAGAAGTTGATATATACTGTAAAAATGTTCTTCCTAAAGCTATAATATTTAGCCAATTCTCATTAAATCTTGATAAACACAATATTTATAAGTTTTAATTATCAATAATATCCTTTCTAAAACCTTTAAAATATATTTCTTGTTGACAATGAATAACCTTAAGAAGTGATAAAGTGAGAGTATTAAAAAGCCTAAAACGCTCGTGGTAGCGCTTTGTCGCTCGTATGAACACTCAAGTCTCTGCTCTAGTAGGTTTTGAAATGCTCAGGTATTAGCATGAGCACTGAAAAGCTTACGAATAAGCTTTTCAGTGCTCATGCCATTACCTGTTAGTGTCGAGCGTGAACATCGAGTACAGATTGATATGCGTTTTTCTTAAATTTAGTGAAAGTTACGTACTACGATAATATTCTAAACTATAATTTATATATTTTATTACATATATTAACTAGTTATTAGGTAATATGCAATCTCGTAATAAGTAACTGTTTTCTGAATGGCTAACCATTCCACTTGTCTTTTTTTTAATGAATACGGAACCCTTTCAATACAATACTTATTTAATTAATATACTCAATCATAAACTATACAAATTTAAAACTCTTTAGCGTAATGACTTTGTGCTCATCACCGCCTCAACACATCACCATCAAAGTTAAGCGCTAATATTTACAGTATTGTGAAAAAATATTAGATCGAACACTTCTAATACATTCTTAAGCTTCTAAGCGTAAAAACCCTCATCTGCTCCAATGCGGGAACTCGATTGCAGACTGAACTAACGTCACAGACGTGTTAGTCTGGGGTATCAATCAATCACCAGATAAGCAAAACTTGTTTTAGCCAAGAATCGATGGATAAGCAAGGTCTTTTATTTTGGTCAGAGGTATGACTTATCCAAGTATAAGAAACTTATGTCTGGCGTAACACACCCATAGACAGAATGGTTTTCCATATCTACGTTTACGTAATGCAGCTCTCGTTTTATTTTAAGTACTTTTTATGGAGTTTGGACTTATATAGTTGGTTTACTATCAACCTTCTTCATGGATGTTGACAGATTTTTTTAACATGTATAATCTTAGATAGTTGAAAGAAATTGCAATATTCCCATTTAATTTTCTATAATAGTGTACTGAAAAGTCTATAAAGAAGGTTGACAATTCTCATATTAACTATATTATAAATAAAATGCTTTGTAGAAACTTGCAATATAGGATAGGACGACAAGTTTTATGAGGTGTTATGCGATATACTACTTTTTGAGCGATAGCACAATTTAACCATATCAAAGTTTTTTTATTGTGATACAATTAGTGAATATTAAAGAAAAGATATGGACCATTCTAGGTCAGCAAAACAATGCGTTTACTAAAAAATATCTAACAATGGTGATAATTCTAAAATCACCACCAATTTACATTACCTAAAATGAATTCGTAGATTTCTAAACTATTTTTTCGTTCCAAATAAAACTATTTGTAAACTGTTTATAGTAGTGCTTACTTTTAAAACTCACGGTGTGATTTTAACAGTACGTGATTAATATAACCTCATATTAATATGATGAACCTCTAAAGTAACACTGCCGGGGGTAATTGTTGTTGCTGCTACCCGCAAACTTTGATTACACACTGACCACCATGTGATGGTCATCGCTTCTATATTTCCATTTAAGTTTTGATATTGTCGTATATCTTGAACTTAACCATGAGCTTCAATCTATTTATCCATATATAATTTCTTTAAGCGCACCCAAACGGACTTTACATATAAATATATAATTCTGTTAAGTTCTGCACCGATTGATTGAAAAATTTTGACACGATATACAATACGCTTCACGCGTTTTTATCTAATTTTCCAACCACAATGTGCCACAGCGAAACGTGGCCAGGTAGTTTATCATAAGATATTGTCTTTACGTAAATAATCCGACGACTCAAATTTAAGAAGTTCTATTTTTAAATAGCAAACATTGTTATAGGTGTTAATATCAAGAAATAGTGTGTTTAAATTTATTTTGAAAAATAGCTATACTTAGTTTTTATTATTAAATCTCAAGAAAATCCATAGAATCTAAGTACAAGTGCACCTATTCAGATAGTGATTGCCTATGCTTCGCCATCTTTATCACTGTCACCATCTTACACATATTTCAAAAACCTAATTCACTTCGTATGTTACAAAAGAGACTGTGATAGGTATTTCAATGAAAAGAAAACATCTTTTGAGGTATTTGTTAGGTGATTTTAGACCAATATTTCAAGCTTTCAGCTGTTTGTGTGTATTTATGAAATAAGGGATTCTAATCCATCTAATAGTTTTCTATAAATAATCGTATTTTACATAGTAAAATTAATTTTCATTTGGGGTCAAAAGGGGTAAAATTAGTTTCATGTGGTTCCTGACTAACATACGCCTCTGTCACCAGAACTCGGCGTTCTTGACCTCGGCTTAATACGTGGTCAGACATAGTCGAAAAGATATCTTATTTATTATTAAAAAAGCATATACGAAGATTTACACACATTGTAAAGAATTAGCACGGATTCCGGAAATAAAACAGCAAATATATGGATTGAGCGTGTACTGCCTTGTAAAAAGCTCCAGAGTCGTAGTGCCAGTGAACATTTTAAATCAAACTTAAAGCTACCGACCATATTGGTGACACAGATGACAGGCAACGTTTAATTGCTAGATGTATTGCGGTGCGTTTACCATTGGGCGCCTGAACATACCCCCGGACGTTGAAAGGTGCCCTTTCAACCACCAGTGGAACACACGGGCAACGGGCAGATCCGATTAAAAGCCCTTCGAATGACGCCCACAGACGTCCGGATATCAGCAACGCGAACAACCCCATCCTCTCCAGCATGCACAGCCACGATTCTCCCCAAACGCCACTTCAGAGGGGCCATGTTGTCCTCCTTGACGACCACCAAAGTACCCAGCTTCAATTCATCCTTGCAGGAACGCCATTTCGTTCTCTGTTGCAGCTCAGCGACATACTCCTTGCTCCACCTAGTCCAAAAATGTTGGCGGAGCTGTTCAATTCGCTGATAACGAGTCAGGTGGTTCACAGATTGGTGCTGATATTCCGATTGAGGTATGGATGTTAATGGACGACCCACTAGGAAATGACCCGGAGTGAGCGGTGTACAGTCGGCAGGATCAGATGACAGCGGCGTTAATGGGCGAGAATTTAAGACCGCCTCGATTTGGGTCAACGTGGTGTTAAGTTCTTCGTAGGTTAAGTGACAGTTTCCCAACACTCGCTGTAGATGATATTTCGTCGACTTAACCCCCGCTTCCCAGAGTCCGCCAAAGTGTGGCGCATATGCAGGAATAAAATGAAAATTAACCCCATCATTTGCCACCCTCTCTGCCATAGACTCACAGTTTGTTTTCAAAAATTTCGAAAGGTCGTTGTACGCACCCACGAATGATGTACCGTTGTCGGAATAAATGTTGACCGGTTTACCTCTCTGCGAAATGAACCGATTTAAGGCCAGTAAATACTTTTGGCTGGATAAGTCACCCACTAGCTCTAAATGAATAGCTTTTGTGGCGAAACAAACAAATATAGCTATATACACTTTTACTAACCTACATCCGCGCCCTTGTCGGCTAGCACATAAGATCGGACCAGCATAATCTACGCCACATGTTTCAAAAGGATGCCCGCCTGGAAGGAGCCGCTGCTGCGGTAGGTTGCCCATTATGGGAGTAACAACACTCCCCTTTATACGACGACATCTGATACATTTATGGAAGCAAGCCCTCGCTAAGTTTCGGCCACCCAACGGCCAATATGTCTCTCTTATCGATGACAACAGTAACTGAGGGCCAGCATGCATCAATCGCCTGTGTTCGAACTCAAACAATAACTTTGTAAATGCATGGCTAGACTGTAACAGAATAGGGTGTTTTTTGTCGTAAGAGAAAAGGGAGTTACCTAAGCGCCCCCCGACACGAAGAATGTCGTTGTGGTCTAAATAAACGTTTAATTTTAACAGAGTGCTTTTTGGAGGGATATTTTGTTTTTTAATTAATAAACTGTACTCGGGAATTGATTGCATTTGAGATTTAGTGATTAAAACATTTAAAGCAGTTTGTAACTCGTCTTGGGTCAAAATTCCACCACATGCCCGCCGTTTCCTACACAGTGTAATGAACCGGAGTACATAAGCCATGCAGCGCACAAGTCTTGAATAATTAGAAAATCTCTCAAACTCTATCAGTGTATTAGAAATATGATTGGTGACAACAGTGCTCAATGAAACATGAGATCGAGTTTCGGGTAATGACTCTGTTTCCGAGTAGCAGAGTTGAGACGGCCATTTAACCTGGTCCAGCTTTAGGAAGTCGGGACCACTCCACCATAAAGGTAAGCCCTGCAGGGTGCCAATATCGACACCTCGTGAAATTAAATCCGCGGGGTTTTTGTCTGTTGGTACGTGTCTCCATGTACATGTACCTGACTTATCTAAGATCTCTGCAACGCGATTACGCACAAACGGTTGGAGTCTGGAAGGTAACATTTGTAATCATCCTAAAACTATTGTGGAATCAGTCTAACAGTAAGAACTGCTGATCTTGACTCGCAGGGACGTACAAACCTTTTCATACAAACGAGCTCCCAATAAAGCACCACACAACTCCAATCTGGGGATCGTGGTGGGCTTCAGGGGGGCCACGCGGCTTTTAGACACTAACAACCGAACCATGCCTTCACCGCTAGCGTTTACGCTACGAATATAGACGCGCGCTCAGAGGCGTCCGTGAAGACATGGAGTTCGAATACATTGAAAACGTCGCAAACGACTAGTCGAGGAACACGATATTTAGTTACGAGTGGTTGGTCTTCAGTCTCCGTTCTAGGGAAAATAAACACTTCGAAGCCCTATCGAACGAAGTTCCTAGAACCGAAGGATCCTGTTTCAGGGGTATACGTACGCAAAAATCTACCGCTAGGTAACCGCGTCGTATGTTTAACGAAATGTTCTTCACATAACTTCTCTTCTTGCGAATAATTATATTCATCAGACGGTGAAACAATCTCCTCAATATTCCAAAACCGTGTTAAATCGGAACGAACCTTCTCTAATTCATACTCACTTTGAGCACTACCTTGAGCGAAATTACATTTTATATTATTTGAAGGACGTTTACCACCAACACGACCAATGGGGCCAGACACAATCCAGCCTAACCTGGTATTACATAATACTGGCTTTCCCTTGCCCAACTGTATCCTTTGTGTACCCAACAAGTCCCAGAATAAATCGGCACCAATTAAAATTTCTACTTCTGAAGGCTTGTAGAACGAAGGGTCAGCTAAATGCAGATTATTAGGAATGTTGAACTTCGATACATCAACTTTACGACAGGGCACGACACTCGTAATCGACGGTAAAACTAAACAACGTACCTTTGTACTGTAACTGTTACTAAGCGACGCAATCTGAATGTTACATGTTTTACCTACACAAGAAGATTTGTTATTAATTCCATATATTATGGACCTATCAGTGTGACTACTTAAGTTCAACCGCTTAAAAAGACCTTCTGTCACAAAACTGGATGTGCTGCCACTATCAAGCACGGCCCGCACGATATATTTGCGATTATTATTGTCGCATACCTTTATTAAAGCGGTAGACAACAACACTTGGTGTTGTTTACCATTTTGACACTCACCGCCGGGCTCGGGCGATGCAATATGTGCCGACAATGTCACGTTATTCGGCCCTGTGACGACGGACGGTGAAGACGTTGATGGGGACGATAACAAATTATTACATGTCGTGTTTTCATAATTGTTACGAGTGTGTGAACTATTTTTAAACTCTGATGTGTGAATTAATGTATTATGCCTCCGTTTACATAACTTGCAACCTGGTTTCTTGCATTGGTTGGCAAAATGTCCTGTACGGAAACAATTATAACAGACCTTGACACTAGATAATAATTTAAGCCTAGCGTCAATGGTTAATGCAAGGAACTCTGGACAATCATTCAACTTATGATTATCCTTACATTTAGGACACGGTCTGCAAGATGATTCGGTACTACCTACATTTTTATTATAATTACTTTGTGTTGTGAACATTGTTTGAATTTTGGAATTTTTATTATGTGATTGTGTGGGAACCGTATGTAACATATTATGCCTTGACAGCTCCAATGTTTCGAGTAAATCAGCTCGTGTGTGTATGAACTGAAGAAATACCGCTAATGTTATTGTGCTGTCTTTATCAAACCGGCCTTTGTACTCTTCAAACTCACGATAAGTTTTTTGATCTAACTTACGAGTTATAATGTAAATCAATAACGTATCCCAGTACTTAATAGGCTCACCTAATGATTCTAAGGCCCGTAGGTTTTTATTTAATTCATCTATTAAACGCTTTAAAGCAAAAGAAGATTCCCTAGTGATCACTTCTATATTAAATAATGCTGTTATATGGTTTTGTATCAATAATTTCTTATTATCGAATCGCTCACACAGTAACTGCCACGCCACTGAGTAGTTTCTAGCAGAGAACTCAATTGAATGTATGACGACAGCAGCAGTTCCCTCCAGAGACGCTCTCAAGTAATGAAATTTATTAATTTCATCTATCTCATCATTAGAATGAATGAGGCTAGTAAAAGTGTCTCGGAACTCCAACCAATTGCTATAAGACCCACCAAATTTAGGCAGTTGAATAGTGGGTAACTTAACCGGCTTACAAACACTAACGCGGGTACCCTTTTCACTGTTTGACAAATCATGATCTTTGTTATATTTATTTAATATTTCCTGTGACCTAGACAGGGCATTGTAGTATATGGATTCAAATTCCGACCGCTCGGTTAACTGAATAGTAACATCATCAGTAATACATTCCAGACGTAACTGTACCTCATCGTATTGTTCGTACAACGACTCGATCTTCCCTGAGCGTAGCTGTAACTCTGTGATGTCACAACTGCTTAATTTTTTGCCGCTTAATCCATCAAGATGTTTAATAAAAATGGTTAAGCGACCCTTAAAACTCCCTCGCTTTTTCACTAATTCCTGTTCATCGCACATACTGGGAAGCGAGTGTCGTCGATCTGGAATTTATATAAGAATAAACTTAACTATATTTAATTACAAAGCAATTGCCTAATTGTACACTAACACAGTTGAATTAACAAGTTTTACAAATATCTAACACTCAATATTGTACCAAGTATTTGCCTACCTACCTATATGTATAATTAATAAAATTTGGATCTCAGTAGTTATTTTAGATAAAATTAGAGCAAATTACAATAAAATATGTAGCACTAACTGTCTACTATGCTATTATAAGCATAAATACTGTAAGTATTGCTTAATAATTGTTTTATACAAAAATACAATGTAAATTAATTTAGATGAAATAATGGCAAATTACAATAAAATATGTAGCCCTAACTGTCTACTATACTATTATAAGTATAAATACTGTAAATTCCTTTTAATAAATGAAACACACAAAATCAATCTGACTTTTTTTTTTTCTTTTTACTACGTAGTTGGTACCTAATGAAAAAGTAAGTATAAAATTTATACACTAACCTTTTAATATCCTTAATTTAGATTAAATAATACCTGATTGAGTGTTGGGTGACGATATCAGAAGAAATAAACTTAACACCGTTGTTAAATATACCCAATCCAGTGGCCGTTAATATTTCTCGTTTCTTGAAAATTTCCAAAAAGCTTCAATATATCCTGATTTCCGGGAATAACTGCTAATCCTTAATAACTGTTGATAAATCCGGCTTCGGTAAGGACCATGTAAAGAATTAGCACGGATTCCGGAAATAAAACAGCAAATATATGGATTGAGCGTGTACTGCCTTGTAAAAAGCTCCAGAGTCGTAGTGCCAGTGAACATTTTAAATCAAACTTAAAGCTACCGACCATATTGGTGACACAGATGACAGGCAACGTTTAATTGCTAGATGTATTGCGGTGCGTTTACCATTGGGCGCCTGAACACACATATGAAGTAAATATTTACGTTTTTCTTGCAGTATTATGCGATTTTTTTTATCTAAAAGATAACCATTAAATAATATTAGTTACGAGTAGCTCAGCTGACTACAAAATATAATGACAAGGAAAAGTATTGAAAAAAATTATTAACAGTAACAACAAATTTATTATTTTTTTACATTTTTAAAACACAAAGGTTTATAATCAAAAAACACATTGCATTATAAAACGGCTACAAATTCAGTAGTCAATTCAATTCGATTCAGAATTCATATATTTAGTCAAGTAATTAAGAATTTCATTCAAACAACACTATTCAAATGCTCTAATAAACACTAATAACAACATAATATATAAATATCTATGTCTAAATATACAGGTATCTTACGATTGTATTACACAGTCTGCTAAAAATACAATAAGTTATAAACTTATTATCTTCGCTTTTTACATACAAACAAACTCGCATTAAAACTAATTATATAAAAAAATGCATGTCATTGGCTGACTGACTCGCTACGTGCAGTCTAATGCTAACATAATTATTTAAATATTGGTGCACTTCACCGATACATTAACAAAATTTACCATTAATATATAATTCAAACCCTGACATACAAAAGAAAACAATAAAAACACTAAATTTATCATAACAGGTGGGATCGTTATAAACCATAACATCATGCGCACGTACAAAATACTTATTCGAGAATCGAATTTACTCCTTAAATACTTTTAAGTTATTTATTTTTATTTTGTACCAATGAAAGAATTCGGTCTTTGTGGCCAGTTCTGGGGTTTACGTCTCAAGTCTTCATATTGTTTCCAGTTCAGATACCAAAAAGGTCTGTTTTCAATTGGCAGTTGATTTAATCGATTAATAAGACCTCTATCACCTTTGGCTTCAATCGGTAAATCTTCATCTTCACCGAATCTACTGGAAAGAAGATCTGTTTCTATGTCTGGATACCCAATTGGTTTCAGTCCGGCGAAGGATGGTCTTTGAGCATTCACAACGACTGTTAAGATGACGAGTGCTATTGTAGTCTTGCTGAAAGCCATTTTCTGTAAAACAATAGAAATAATGAGTTAGTGATTAATGTAATCGTAACTTAATACAGTACTTAGTCTCTGAGAAAAATAAACGTTATTTTATAGAGATATTGAGAAGTCGTATAATAAATATTGAATCGCATCATTGAGACATAACTAAGTCTCTTTTTTAAATATATAAGTTTTGACAACCACAAAGATTAAAATTACATATCAGGTTTTGACAACACCTCAATTAAAACAAAAAATAAACACGTTATAAATTCATACAATAGTTACTCTATGAATTTTATTTGGAGAGGTACTGTTTACTACAAAATTCGAAAAAAAAGATAGCATCTAAAAGAGGCATCATTATAATAATTGTCCATTAATAAGCATTATTAAAGTACATAATAAAATAACATAACATACCGTAATATACACGTGTACTTATTTATCAGATAAAAAATATATTTGTTTACGGCGCTGGTGTCTACCGGTTTGCTGTTCGCACACTGTATGACTGTGACTTGATACAACGGAGAAGAGTTTAAATATGTAAGCCTCATTGTGCCAATGCAGAGCTTAGAAGATATAGATTAGGATTTCAATTTTCGGATTAATACTTAGTACCTGGATGACCAAGCTTTGCTCGGTATTTTTTTATTTGGTAAATTTTACAAAAATAGAACCTAGCTAGATTAATTAATCGCCCCTGAAACCCCCTGTATACTAAATTTCATGAAAATCGTTGTTGCTGTTTTCGAGTATCAGATTATACATTTATATGTATTTACATACGAGTATATACAAGAATTGCTCGTTTAAGGTATTAAATACCTCTTTTTTTATTTTTTGAGCTTTAAGTTAATAGAAACATTTAATATTTGAAAAGTATCAAAAAGAGGTTAACTACATATTGATTGATCTGTTTTACATTTTCATTTTCTGTTACATGTTTTGATGTAAAGATCAACGATCTTTTATATTTATAGAGTGAGCATACAGGCAAAAGAAGTGTTTACACAATAAATAAGTATGATTTTCCTAACGCCATAACATTATTCCGGATCACATTATTACATCCTATTTAACATTTTCTATTAAAATATCTTTCATGACAGTTACAGCATTGTAAAAAGCTTGAGCCGGCGCTTCACTCAAATCTACGTTCAAGCAATTTGTGAACAGTCAAGTTTTAGCAACAAGATGCAAAACAACGCGTTGGTACATACTCGTGTATATATTTAGTTGATGTTACGCAGTTTTTAAATTTATTTCATTATATTTATAAGAAAAGCATATTATGATAATAATATTATATTAACAAATAGGTAATAGGATTAACAAATAGGTAAGTAATTTTGTTGCTCTGTGTATCAAGAAATACTCGAAATTTTGAGTTTTTGTTATAGAATAATCCCTTTGCTTGTGTTTGTTTTTCAATGTATACGGAATACTAACTGACCCAATACTTAGACAGTGGATATACTGATTTATTTCATCAATCATCATCAACAGCCTATACTATTTATTTATTATACTCAAATAATAAGCCCGAGTCAGGCCTCAGCAGTAGACTTATATTTATATTTATTTACAGCAGTGCAATGTATATTTAAAAATAATATATGTATATGAAGAAATCAATAATTAATTCGAACACTTCCAAAACATTCATAAGCTCTTAAACGTAAAAACCCTCATTGATTCATTGCGGGGAACTCGATTGCAGACTGGAATGACGTCACAGACGCGTTGAAGCGTCGATCAATGACCAGATTAACAAGACTTATATTAGTTTAGAGTAGACACCACATCAAGGTCTTTTATTTTGGTCAGTACTATGACGTTTCCAAGTATTACCAGCTTGTATCTGGCGTAACACGCCCATAAACTCAACAGTAGTAGGTTTCCAAAACTACAGTTATGTTTACATAACACAGTTCATTTTATTTCTGTTACCATTAACAGAGTGTGGTTTTATATAGTATGCTTTCTATCAATCTACTTAATGGATGTAGGTAGTCCAGTTACTTAAATAGCACTGATAGAAAAAAGAGACATGTTTCGTAACGTCTACAACAGAAAACTCTAAATACAATAATGAAAAGTGAAAATTTATGGTATCTGTGCAGTCCTACTGTACTGAAAACATTCATTTTGTGCAATAAATTGAATGGTCTAGTGACACAGTGCCTGAATTCAAATAATTTAACAAACGAAAGTTTTAATATAATCAATGTTATACGTTAATCAGACTCTTAAAATAGCATTATCTCTAACTAGCAGGACATTGCGTTAATTTCACCTGCGCTATTTAATGAGCAATATGGCGATCGTCTCAAAATGTACGTTATGGAATATATTCGTTACGTACTGTATCTAATTCAGGTGTAAACATAATTTTTACTTCGTAGTTGAGGCTAAATCTTTGATGATAAAGATGCATCGATTCTAATATATGTTTGATTATATATATATTGATATACATTGCATCCTTGTGCGGTTTTTATTAAGTTTTTTTCATTGTCTGAGCAACAGAACTTCTCCAAGCATATTTGAAACAGAATGTTCGCTTTATCTCTCTCTCTCTCTCTCTTTTTATGAGATTTACTACGTCGCGTCGTCTCGTCCTAAGTTGTAATAAATTTAAATAAACTAAAATAAATTAATATATGAACAAGAAAGGGAATGCTCCTCTTTTAAGTAAATAGTTTCCCTTAACTTACCATATCTTTACCTTCCTATACTAAATGTAAACAAGACAATAAACATCATCAAATTAAGTTACATGGAAAGTACCTAGGTACTTAATGTAATACGGTACGTATATTATAAATCATTGTTTCATTGTGTCAACTGCACATTTGCACATTATTGATTTCCTAAGATTTATTAATATAAAAATATGATCATTTTAAAATATAATTATGAAACTTAAAATCATCGTGAAAAATATGATTTTTTTATTGTACAGAAAATTCTTAAACAACAGTAAAAGCTCACTTTAGCTCTAGAAACTAGTAGATTTCTCGATGTAAATGAAACCCTAACCTTAATCTGAATATAGTAAGGAATGTAAATGAAATATAAAGCTATTAAATTAGCAGAATTGGATTAGTATCATACTTATCTTCTGAACTAAATCATGCTCAGCAGCCAAACTTCTACATGAGGCATTGTAAATGATAAGTAAGTGGTGAGTAAATGATGAGTAGTACTGTAAGAAGTTTTTAATTGATGTTGCTTAACTAAACATTCATGAAACGAACACCCAGACTCAGAACAACAATGTGTGGATCACACAAAGTGTTATCCCATGTAGGGATCGGCCCCACAACACTCAGTGCGGTGGGAAGCTTCAATGTAACTGTTTAAACTTCCACGCCAACGTATTCATTCTATTTAAATTTTGTTATTTAAAGTTATATCTCGAGCTTTACCTAGATCATCAATTAATCCTGGTATCTTCACAGGAATTAAAGCACTCACGGTAGGTATTCAGTACATACCTTTGAGTTGCTGTTGAAGTTTCGACCAGGTGACACTGGCTGTTATATATGTCAAATACCCAGCTTTTGGGGTTGGTATTCCTCTAGTCCTTCCTTTCTCTGTTCGTGTGGTGATGAATTAAGAATATAGAGAGTCATCACCCGTATTGATCCCGTGGGTGTCGTAAGAGCCGACTAAGGGAGCAAACTCTGAACACTGAGCACTGCAAAGAGAAGCAAACTTGAAACACACCCTACACCAACCCATGTGGCTAGCGTGGTATAGTAAGCCTAAACCTAATTTTAAGGAGAGGCCTATGTCCAGCACTGTACTAGCAAAGGCTGTTGATGATAATGTTATTCATATAGGGGCGGCAACTTTTTAAAAACGAATGATTTAAGAGTTTTGATAATTGCCCTATAATATAATTATTTTCAATTACCGTGGCTCGGCGAGCACGTTAAGCCGTCGGTCCCGGTTGCCATACGAACATCTGCGACAATCGTTACGAGTAGTTGAAGCCCAAAAAAGTCCAACAACAGTCTTTCTTAATAACTTCGATATCACTTAGTACTTAGGTCCAGTCCAGCAGCTCCGCATAAATAATCGAAGTGCAACCGTATTGTATTAGACTTCAAGCCGACCTTAACGTAGTTCGGGAAAAAGGTTCGGAGGAAGAAATTAGTTTTAATTACAAACAATATAGTATAACTACTAATGTCAACAAACACGCTGGTGCAGATTTCAGATCAGATACTATTTCAAGTCTGTTGTTCATTTGGAAGTGGATTAAATTTATGTTCTATACGCTATAATTTGCTCAGTCAGTCAATGATAAAAATCACGATTTGTTGATGTTAATTTTTTTTTTATGATACAGGGGGCAGACGAGCAGAAGGTTCAGTGATAGAAAGTGACCATCGCCGCCCATGAACGACTGCAACTTAGGAGTCAAAAACGCGTTGTCGGCCTTTTAGGAAGGAGTACGCTCTTTTCTTAAAGGTCGTATCGGTCCGGAAACACCGCAGACAATAACCCATTCCACAGATTGGTTGTGCGAGGCAAAAAGTGTCTCACAGTGGAGCGCCAACTATCCAGATGATGGGGACAAAAATTTTGCCGAGTGGCACGATGGCTGCATGTTGAGGCCAGTATTATTCCGAACAATTCCTCGGAGCACTATCCATGATATATACGATAGAGAATGTAGAGTACCTAAAGCCACATCTACTATCGAATATTTGAATAGGTAGTTGTTTGGGCTGTTTTTGTGAAAATTCTCGTCAGTTCTTTTTTCTCTCGTCAGTTCTTGTTTTTGGTAGTCGGCTTGCCACGTGTCTAAATTTAGTCCAACCAGTATACAGGGTTACTGGGTTAGTCGACCTAGATACTTTAAGAAGTTGTTGATGCATCATTTCTGATAGATTTCACTATGAAATACCATATCCTAAACCTAACCATTTTCAAGATATTAACACACTTTTAAATAAAAAAAAATTAAATCGACGAATGTTTGCTTGATAACTTTACTTTGCTAGATAAACTTATTTTATGTTTTTTTTCTGCTTTTGTGTAGTCGATAAATTGTTTTAAAATTAAAATTGTAGTTAAATTAACAAACTGGACCGAAGAAGATGGTTAATAATTGACTTCACGGATGGCGTAGTAGTTTAAGCGGTCGCACCCCACATGGAAACACTTAAACTGCAGATTTGTTAAAAAAACATGAACACATTCTCAGCTTTAAACAGGGTATAATATTTCAGGATAGTCTCAGAAGTCATGGTAAAAAAAATAGCAAATAACCCGGTAGTAGAAAGTTGAAAACTTGGCTTGTATTTTTGGACTGTTTCGTTTTCTATTCGTGACTAACTATTGTTAAGTGGACTTTGATTTTTAATTCTGATACTGTTGAAGATGATTACCTTTTTTTTTCAGTGCGGAATTCCCCTCGGATACCACCTATCGGTGGCATGTCGGACTCGAACCGACTAAAACCGCACGCCGTCTCGGGTACTAATAGCCGGGGAACATACGAACGATTAATATGTTCATATTTTGATTTCTTACGGATATCGTCAACGGTCGTTTAACTCTCATAGATTTTTTTTATATAATATTCAATGTATATAATAATATATTTTTACAACTTTATTTATTTTTACTATTAATAACCATCTGCTCCGGCCCATTTTGTTAACTACAATTTTAGTAATTTAAATTTTAAAACAATTTATTAACTACACAAGATATAACTTCCAGTCCAATATATTGAAAATGGTTAGGTTTGGGATATAGTATTTCATACTGAAATAATTCAGAAGGGATGGCAACTACAAAGTCTTAAAGTATCTAGGTTTAGAAGGCCAGCCATTAGATTATGCTGGTTAGCTTAACCACGAATTATTATGCTAATGTTAAGTATTGAAACAAATAAATATTTAATAACCAGAACGAATTTATTTATATTTTAAATTTTTAATACAAAAAGTTTTATCATCAGAAAATAATTTTACATTTTAAAATGGCTGTGAATTCAGTACTCGGTTTCAGTATTCACTAAGTAATTTAAAATATCCATACAAACAATATCATCGAAACGGTCTAAGTAAAACCGAGGAACACATATCAGTCAGTTGATAATCCCATAAATTAATGAATTTTACGATTATATAACATAGTGTTATTAAAATAAAAAATAATAAGTCATAAACTTAAGATCTTCGATTTTGTAAGTACAAAACAAATACAAACTAATTTAATTTTTAAATAAATGCATGTCATTGGCTGACTGATTCGCTAACTAACCAAACGACTAAACAAGCGCACTTGTATCTTTGCAATACTAGCATAATTACTTTAATGTTTGTACACTTCACTGATGAACTTACAAAATTTATCCTAAATATAATTTATTCCAAACTCTAATACATACACAGCCACATAACATTTTAAAATTATAATCACAGGTGGGATCCTTAAAAACCAAAATATCATGCGCACGCACAAATTCCTTTACGAGAATCAAATTTCTTCGGAAATAGTCATTTATCTGTACCTACGCTATATCTTGTTGTGATTTTTTCTTTATTTCGTACCAATGAAAGAATTTTCTCTTTGTGGCCAGTTCTGAGGTTGGCGTCTAAAGTCTTCATATTGTTTCCAGTTCAAAAACCAAAAAGGTTGATTTTCAACTGGCAGTTTGTTCAACCGATCGATGAGACCCCTATCACCTTTAGCTTCAATTGGTAGGTCCTCATCTTCACCAAATCTATTGGAAAGGAGATCTGATTCCATATCTGGATATCCAATTGGTTTTTGTCCAGCGAAGGATGGCCTTTGAGCATTCACAACGACTAAGAAAAGGGCGAGTGCCAACGTTATCTTGATGAAGGTCATTTTCTGTAAAACAATAGAAATACTAAGTTAGTTTTAAATGTAATATTAGAATAAGATACTAGAATAAGTATGATTTTTTATCTCCATATTATTTTTTATATCTTATTTGTTTAAACTAATATATATGATTTGAATCAAACACATCAGATTTTGAATAACAATTCAATTAAAAACAAGTTACAAATTAAAAGAATAACTGCTATACTAATACTATTCATGAAGTTACTGTTTTTGTACATGATTAAAGTGCTGTAGAACCGTACAAGGTAACACCCAAGAGTAGCTTAGCATTATATATGTATGATCCATATTTTTACGTTTAAATATTTGCTATAGACACCGTTTCAATTCTAAACAAAAAATTAGGTGACAATAAATTACCGTAATGTACACGTGTCCTCGCACAAAATTATTTATCAGAGTGAGTAAACTTATTGTTTGTTTACGTCGTCTACCGGTTTGCTGTACGCGCACTGTATGACTGTGACTCAATACGATGGAGATGAGTTTAAGTATGGAAGCCTCATTGTGCGAGTACAGAGCTCAGAAGATTTAGATTTGGTTTTATCGAATTGAGTTTGCTGGAATTGGTTACATAATTTATGATTATTCGCAATGGATAATAATATTTAATAAATTAATTTAAAACAAAATATGTTATCTTTATAATTTAATTTTTCTCAAAATCTTTTGAGTTTTCAAAATATCAAATAATGACAAAATACATTTGAGATAATATTTTCAACATCGTCATTGTCTCTAGTTTGTTGTATTTTAATGATCAGTGATTATATTTTACCACACATAGAAGTGAGCCAGTAGGAGTTTATACAATGTGTTTTTTTGACGAATGTTTAAGCCACATATTCTCCACTTTATTTCTTGACGATTTGGAAAATATGATCAAAAAATATTCAGTGGTTTAGAGACAGGTTTTTTTCGTAATGTGCTAAATCATGTGTAAATGCAGTCATAATACATTGACCTCAGACGGCGATCAGCTGTATACGCGGCGCGGTAATCACACGTTGCCGCTTTTAATACACTAAAATCAAACGAAATTTGTTGATTTTTGTGTCATCAGGATGAAGGACTCGCGTTTTTAATTAGTTCATCCAGTAAGTACAGTCAGTCGGCTCTTAGCTACCGCGAATCGCTGAGTGTTATGCTGTTCTGTGTCCTTGTAGATGCGATGATAATAATATTGTTGTTGTTCGTGAGATATTTGTTTAGAAAAGTATGGGTTCAATCGTGTATGTCCTACAGACTGCCGATTTTTTGTTAGGGCGGTACAAAGATTACAAGACAACCAAAATACCTACTTTTTCAAGGAGCGACACGTACTGCCGGGTCCAAAGCTATTCGAGCATTTCCAAAATAATAACGTGAGTAAAATCGTATTTTTAATAAATTGGTTTTAAAAAGCCAGTGAAGTAAGTGATTAAGTAGTAGGTAATAAGAATGTAAAGTTCGCTGGCTCGTCGCGGTGGCGGCGTCGCTTTGATGTCGCTGACATTGCGACGCTGCCGTGTCCAGTTCAACGACTCATGTTAACAATGGTGTTCTAATTCGACAATTTTTTTATTATATTTTTTTTAATTTTAACTGACGTATATTGAATCGCTTTATCTGTTATTTCATTTTTTGTGATAACTTTTAGCACAGTTGTTATAATAAGTTCTACCCAAATACCGAAAACGCTTATGGAGCGATAAAACAGCTCACATCACGTTGTGGGAATAAAGCAAAGCTGTGGCGCTTGCAGGACTAGTTGGTGTAACCATATTTCGATGGACAGATTTATCGTCTAGATTAAACTGTGCATTGAAATATCAGTGGAGTTAAATTTTTTATTGTTCAAATATCCGTCTTAGCTCTTGACAGTCAATACCTGGCGATGATTTTTGCAAAACTATAACGTGTATACAGAGCCAACTTTACAAATAAATAAATATGACTCATTCGGACACTTCTGATAGATACATAAGCTTCTAAACGTAAAAACCCTCTTTGATACGTTGCGGAGAACTCTATAGCAGACTGGAACGACGTCATACACGTTTGTAACATCATTCAATGACCACATTAGCAAGACTTGTTTTAGCTAAGAGTAGGCGTACAAGCAAGGTCTATTTATTTGGTCGGAGGTATGACGTTTCAAAGTATTAGTAACTTAGGTCTGGCATTACACACCCATAAATTCAACGGTAGTAGGTTTTCCAAAACTGTGTTTACGTGATGTAGTAGTAAGTTAATAACAGTAACTTCTAATGGTGTGTAGACTTGTAGGTATAGTTTGTTTTGTTTTGACCCATTCTATGAGTGTAGGCCTTGGTGCGCTCTAAGGTGTAGACAGTACATTTTAATTTTTAATATAATTATTGCATTTTTAATTTTATTGTCAATTGATTCTAAAGTTTAACACTGGTAGAAAAGTTGTAAAAAATAATAGAAAAAAAAAAAAAAAATTACATCATTTAACTATTTCAATTAGTAATATGCAGGTATTTATGCCTCTTTTTTATAATAGGAGATTGATAGAAAGTGGAATGGAATTATATGGGTATATCTATGTCAAGGTTTTATAGATATGGGTTATATCTTTTTCTTAAACACAGACATATATAATATCTATATATAACTATAACTATAGGCTAATAAATTTCAAAGTCCCACTCACCTTGTGTTTTTACGATCAGAACTCGTAACTTTTCACATAGTAGTCAACTTAACAAAAAGTAAGCAGTTTTTATATGTCCATATTTGAAACACTTGAAACACAATAAAAAAGGTCGTGCCTCTTGCACGACCTTTTTTGACTTAAACTTATTGTGTTTGGATCTGCCACGGAATGCTCTACATAAATAGTAAAAACACGAAAACAATGAGTAACTGAATTGTTTGTTGTAAAAAGTTCTAAAAAACTTCACAATTGTATGGCTACCTTCTACGGATTACTCACTACAATAATTTTAAAATTGGTTTACAAATGAAAGAGTTTCGAGGTAACAAACATGAAAATAATTTCGAAATAGCCCTTTTTATGTCTAAATGTTTTGTAATTTCATATATTACTTTCTTGTGTACATATCTCGGTAACCAAACACAACACATACACTTAACATATATCTCGAAAGAATAAAACAAGGTCAATACATGAACCATATTATTGAAAGAGTTATCCTCTAACTCCTAAAGCTCAAGGACCCTTCCATCATCATCTTAGCAATAAGATAACGACTACCAACCGCAAATACCTGTGTACCTAGAGAAACTAGCTGAAACACGTTGTCAGGGCGATAAAATTTGAGGGTTATACTACTTTAGGAGTATACTCTTTCGATTACAAAAAGATGTTCCATGGCAATCGGTCCACAATTGACGGAGATATCGCGTAACAAACACACAAAAAAAAACAGTCGAATTGAGAACCTCCATCTCCAGAGAAAAGCTACTAGCAGCAAGGATATTAAACTCTATGGGCTGGTGCTTTAGCAAGACTTGTGAGTCTAGTAAGGGTATTAATTATATTAAAGTTAAATATTTATTTCATCATCATCCTTAAGTAGTCCACTGCTGGGCGCATGTGCCTCTGCCTAGAAAGGAGCTTATAAGGTTTATTAGAGTTAGATTTATTTACAATGCGGTAATTCAATTTTTAAATTAAGTACGTTATTAATGAAACACAATGCTATAAAAAAAGGTTTTTTCATGCTCACACCATACCTATGTTACGATTTGCACGATACCTATGCCTAAAAACAGTTTAAATATTTTTTTGTCTGTCTGTCCTTCTGTTTGTTTCAGGTAATCTTCAAAATGGCTAGACCGATTTTGATAATGTTTTACTACAAGGTAACTGTCTGTATAAGGAGTAACTGAGTCTATTTTTCCTCTCAAAAAAAACCCTACAAAGTTTTGCCCTATCCGGGAATAGAACATGAGGCCTCGTGGACTGCAATCGCATACCGTATCGTAAGGCATCATCTACCCCAACGAAGTCGCGAGTACCAGCTAATCGCTATATAAAGGGCAAGAATTTCTTACAGACTTGACACAGACACGAGTACTTATTGCACTTTGACTTTTTTATCGCTGCTCGTGATAACCAGATGTTCTTTTATACAGATATTCATAGTAAATGATCTGTGTATATTTTCTGTAATATTCACAATAAACATGACTGTGAAGAATCACGGTTTATTACAAAACCAGTTAATAAATCATGATAGACATATACGTGGGTTTTTTGAAGGTTAATTCAAAGGCCAATAGAGATTACAATAATGACAAAAAAGATAGAATTAAATGCATTAAGGTCAAGTGGTTTAGGTTACTATCATGTTCAATGTACGGCTTAAGATTTCAGAAGAAATGTCAAAGCAGTCAAATATTTGGACATGTAGTAAATCGTTTGGCACTGTGTTAAAAGGAAGAATAGGAGAGTTCTCGTTATAAAGACGCGGCCGACTGCACATGTACCTAAAATATAATATGGTATAAATAAATGCGATCACAGTTTCAGCACCATTATTTTTCATTTGTGACCGGTGAGTACAACGTAGTACGACATCTGGTGATTACTTAGCAAGTAAGTAATTGGTGAGCTACTAAGATAATCGCTTCATATTCGGTGAGGTGTGTGGCTCGTTTGACGGTTTATTTGTAAAGAAAATAGTAAAGTCAACAAATCAACCTCTTTTGAAGCGTTTCATAATAGAAATGGGTTGCTGTAGTCTCAATCACTCAAATGTATATACCAATATGGCTGTATGTAAAAAAAATCGTCACCCGGTCCAGCCGGCTTTTTTTGCCGAATCATGCCTCTCGCATACTCATTTAGTTATAAAAAATGATTACCATCTCAAAATCATAAATATTAATTATCCCTCATTTCAGATACTCTGAGAAGTTGAAAATTTGCAAGTTAGATAGATAAGAAGCTGCCAACCATGTCACAAAATTCTCTTAAATACTGATCCAGATCAGATCTGCAGACTTGGTACACTATCGTTCAAAAGTTAAATTTAAATGATGTAGTTGTTTACTTAGTTTTTGATCTAATAAGCATATAGCAAGGTTTTATTATTCAATCCTAAACTCTAATGTAAGAAAATAGTCAAAATTCGAGATTTGTGTACACGATTATAACTGCAGTAAGTTTCATTACATGATTAATGATTACGCTCATATGAAATAATAGTTAGGGATTTTTTATGCATAAACCAATTTCTTAGCGTTCCATGGATTCATCGTGCGGGTGCCGGCTCGATTGCGTGGTAGATGGGGGCAACAAATGTGTCTTCGACAGCCCCTAGGACTTGCAACCCAGGTATAGGTTTAGGGAGTAAGTACTCCTTGCGACAGTTACAGCAGACAGTGGATGTAAGCGCTGACGGGCTAAGTAACCATATTTTATACGAGTCTAGCAATGCCGCTTTGGACATTCGTTCAAGAAAAGAGCTCTTGGCAATCCAAGGTCTTTAAGCAGGTTAAAGAGGGATTTAGCGGGTATACATACAACGCATACAACGCAACGACATAACCATTTTTAGTTATTAAGTTGGTTGAGTCAAAGTACTTGTTTTTTTTTAAAGCGTGGTCTTTAGGGATGTTCGTTTCCCACGGCACCGTACTGGTACTACACGCTTAATTGAAATTGCATAAAGTAATATGTCTGGTCTGGACGCCGAGGTACAGATATCCGCCGGTATTCTGTAATGATTTTCATACGTGTCCACTAATAATGTGGTATTTGTAATTAAGTACGGCTTTTGTGAAGTCTTTTTTGTCGAGCCTTACTTGACAAACTAGATGTTAGTTATTATGTTTATTGTTTTTCCTTTTTTCGCTCTCGCCAGCGATAAACTTATAGCTTCGCGTATGATTTGTAATACCCTATCACGGCGACTTGACATGACCTTACAACCTGTCAGTAGGTGCCTGGCTGTACAAATTTTCGCACTGCACCCCACCTTACTAGGTTGCTTTGACCAATCTTATAAAAGTGTAACATTTCAAAGCATTCATTCTGTATTTCTAGGTTCATTGCGTGCACCTTGTAGGTCTCGTTTTCATCTTGTTGTAGGAGAGATTTTGTTATCCCTTTGTACTGTGTACCCACTATGAATTTCTTGGGGACTTGAGCTCTATATACATACTCATACATGAGTGTATGTAATTACGTTACCCTTATGTTTCCGAACTGCAGACCTATATCGGGAATAGGACATACTTACTGTCAGACTCTCTCAAAGGTTCTTCTGTTTTCTTGGACCATATATTTACAATAAAATAAACAGTATTATTAACTTATATCCTTAATATATACATATAGATTTGTATGTCTGCTAATGCTAAAATGCTGTGTGGATTATGATACAACTGAGAATATAATGACTCTCCTCAAATAAACCCCTATTCTAAATATCTCTTAACAATGCTATCATTAATGTCGAACTCGCAACACAATCTCACTACACTCTCTTCACTAGTCTCAACCACTCACACACATACACACAAACATTTATTTTTATTTTATTTCTGCATTTCAGCATTTTCATTTTAATGAAAGACTGTGTGTCTAGTTTGACTTGTTGCATTCTTTGTACGGAGAACGGAGAAGGTACATGCGTTTAGGGTGAGAGATGTTTGTTTGTTTTTAGTATTGTAATAGTTAGTTTAAATATATATATATATATTTATATATATATAGAATAGTTTGTTTAATTGTTAAATTTCTCATATGGTGTATTGTCCATTTTCGTTCATCTCCTATTCTTACGGCACAGAGGGCCTGGTGACCTGTAACACATGTTTATTTATTTAACCTACATCAGGCACCAGTCTTTCACATAGGTGTAATCTCCGTGGGTGGAATTCTGAAGCTAAATCACTGTATTATTTTGTCTTAAGGCGAATGCCTTAAGACAAAATAATACAGTGATTTAGTACTTTCATTCATTTCATTTGTACAAAGAGAATAAATATTATTATTATTATGTAATTAACTCAGCTCTAGATCTCCGAAGGGATAATAAGTAAAGGTTAAATAAACGCCCACATTTTAC